ATTACATGCATTTTCCATACTGTTTCACAATTCCTTTTATTTGTAATTGTTTAATCCTGCAAAATATTGCACTGAATGAACATATGATCATTTTCTTAAGTATTCCCCTGCTATTAGAAATGAAGTTTTTTCCAGCATTTTTCTCTTTGCTGTGATGAATATTTTTATATACAGAGAATTTTCAGTTTGGTAATGAGTTTTTGAAAATCTCCTTTACCAAAAATAAAGAAAACACATGTCTTTCTTTAGTACTTTTGCCAAGATATTACTTTTACTTGACTTTCAACAAATGTAGGATGAAGTTATCCAAGTCTGCAAGGGAACTTGGAAGTAACTTGTTTCTGCCTAATTTCTATAAAATTTCCAAGAAATAGTCATACAGATTTAATTTGATCACATCCACTAGTTTTCGCATTGTTATTGCTATATTGATTATGGACACATAAAACTGTAACTCCTGGAGCCAACCTCTCAGGCTTTCCCACATGAAACCAATGCCACCACCCAACCCGCATTCTAGCAACTTCTATCCACTGATTTTAGTCATTGACTTGCTGTCTTCCTCTTTCTGTTGTCTTCCAGTTTGTCTCTCTCACTCCTCCCCTTTCTTCTCTGTCCTGCTCTCTGACCCAAGAGGCTGACCTCTATGAACCACATCAGTGATTGGCTGGTGGAAACCTCCCGGCAAAGAGGATGGAGTGAAGTGAGGATATTTACTCACTTAATTGCCTCCAAGCTGGATCACTCACAGCTGGCCGTGTCCTTCCATCAAAGATCAGAGCTCTCCTCAAGGTAGCCCTCTCCACAAACTCTTGAGTTTCTCTTTCTGGGTTTTGTTAACTGTTTTCTCAACTTGTCCCTTCATGCCTAGAGGTAATAGCAGGTGAGGGATGCTGTGCTATTCCATTTGGTTTTCCTGCACACTTTCCACGTTTGTATATAGTCCCTTTCAGTCAAACCACTGGGCCTGCCCTAATTTGAATGTGCCATCTTTTTTCTGTTTCCTGCTGAGAAGTGTTCAACTCACTCTGGATACCCTCAATAAATATAACTCAGGCTAGGCGCGGTGACTCACACCTGTAATCCCAACACTTTGGGAGGCCAAGATGGGAGGATCACAAGGTCAAGAGATCGAGACCATCCTGGCCAACATGGTGAAACCCTGTCTTTTCTAAAATTACAAAAATTAGCCAGGTGTGGTGGTGAGCACCTGTAGTCCCAGCTACTAGGGAAGCTGAGGCAGGAGAATAGCTTGAACCCAAGAAGCAGAGATTGCAGTGGGCCAAGATTGTGCCTGGGCAACAGAGCAAGACTCCGTCTCAAAAAAAAAAAGTTATATGTGTGTGTGTGGGGTGTGTGTGTGTGTGTGTGTGTAACTCAGACTGTCACAAAATTGAGCTTGTAACTATGTCCTTTGTTGATATCACTGGTCCAGAAAATAATTACATGACTCACTCTGCTCACCTCTTTAGTTTCCATTTCTGCATTGCTCCATCACTTCACAATTCCCTGTCAGAATGGGAAGAAAACCTCACTAATAGAGAATAGAGTTCATCGTCAATGGCTTATGAACCAAAAGAGGTTTTGTGTGTGTTTTTTTCTTTTTCTTTAAAGTTCAGATTTTTCTTCCTAAAAACTCTCATGTTAGATAAGTGCCCACACCAGAGTTATTTAAGTAATGGCATGAAAAGATATTACAGGAGCTAGATGTATATTTTTCCTTGGTAGTTGCCTTTCCTTTTTCCATGCCTAGCAGGCTATGATGAAATAATTACTCTGGCAATCAAGACTTTAAAAACAATAAGGAGTCAACCTCTCTGAGTGCTCAAGTTATCCCATGTCTATAAGACAACCTCCTTTAGAAACTGAAGTATTTTTTCCCACCCTTTGGGAGCACCATCTGGCAGGTTACTTTCTGAGTGTGCTTAATCTAGGTTGTGTCCACGAAAAGAGTCAAACTCTTTAAAATATTTGAAGAGATTAATTCTGAGCCAAATATGGGTGACCATACCCTGTGACATAGCCCTCAGGAGGTCCTGAGAATATGTGCCCAAGGTGTCAGGGCGCAGCTTGATTTTATACATTTTAGGGAGACATGAGACTTGAACTACATTTAGAATATACATTGGTCCAATCCAGAAAGGCAAAACAACTTGAAGCGGGGTGGGGGGCTTCCAGGTTATAGGTAGATTTAAAGTTTTTCTAATTGGCATTTGGTTGGAAGAATTATCAATGGATAGAAATGTCTGCCTTGTGATAAGAAGTTATGAAGACCAAAGTTGTATCATGCAGATGAAGCTTCCAGGTAGAGGATGCTCAATGTTTTTTTCTTTTTTCTTCCCTTGATTCTACCCCCTCCCTCCAAATGTCTCTTTTCAGATGTAAAGTCTGTATTGAGATTCACACTGGAGACGTATAATGACGCATGTCTGATCCCCACTTTGCGTCATCGCCTGAACCAGTCTTTCAGGTTAAATTTTAAAGTGCCCTGGCTAAGGAGGAAGTCATTCAGATGGTTGGGGGTGGGGGGCTCAGAATTTTATTTTTGGTTTACATTTGTCATTTTATAGGAAGAATGGTTTTTGAGTAGAATTAAGAAGATACTCACAAGATTAAGGCATAATAGAGTTTCTCTCTCTCTCTCTCTCTCTCTCTTTACTTTTCTTTCTTGAGACAGGGGTCTTGCCATATTGCCAAGGCTAGTCTCGAACTCCTGGGCTCAAGCGATCCACCTGCCTTGGCCTCCCAAGTACTGGGATCACAGGTGTGAACCACCGTGCCCAGCCAGCATAATAGTACTTCTAAGATAGTGATTTTCTTTTACAAGGAATGCTTCAAACTTGATGAAAAGAAAAAGATGGAGAGCTAAGCTATAAGGATGCAAAGGCATGAGAATAATACAGTGGACTTTGGGGACTCGGAGGGAAAGGGTGGGTTGGGAGTAAGGGATAGAAGACTAGTCACTGAGTACAGTGTACACAGCTCAGGTGATGGATGCACCAAAATCTCAGATATCATCACTAAAGAATTTATTCTTGTAACCAAACACAGCCTATTCCCCAAAAACCTATAGAAAAAAATTTGTATACCATAAATATGTGTAATGTTTGTCAATAAAAATTTTTTAAAGGTTAAAAAAGAAAAAAAGAAACAAGTGATGGTTTCCCAAGGGTTAACTCAATCCATTATATTATTTTTATTTTTATTATTTTTTGAGATGGAGTTTCACTCTTGTCACCCAGGCTGGAGTGCAATGGCACAATCTCGGCTCGCTGCAGCCTCCGCCTCCCAGGTTCAAGTGATTCTCCTTCCTTAACCTCCTGAGTATCTGGGATTACAGGCATGCACCACAACACCTGGCTAATTTTTGTATTTTTAGTAGAAAGGGGGTTTCATCATGTTGGCCAGGCTGGTCTTAAACTCCTGACGTCAGGTAATCTGCCCACCTTGGTCTCCCAAAGTACTGGGATTACAGGCATGAGCCGCCGTGCCCAGCCTCAATCCATTATATTATTTTCTTCATGTTTCTCCTTCTGACCTCCACTTGGATCTTACAGAGGAGTGGGTGTGGATCAGTAAGATAGAAGAAAGAGGTGAAAGACTGAATCAAGGCCAAGGAAAGCTTGGGCTTCCTCCCAGTTATTGGGCAATCTTCTCCTCACTCTTCATATTCCTTAAGCAATCTCATCAGGTTCCTTGTCTCTAATTACTGCACTACTCGTCATAGATGACTCCCCAATTTAAATCTCTAGTACAGACCTTTCTGAGCCCCAGCCCCACAAATCAAGTTGTTTTCTGACATCTCCAGTGGAGATGTCTCAAAATACCTCCAGTTCATGACGTTCCTTCTTACGACCATGTGTGCTTCTGTTCCTTCCTGTGTTCTATGCATGAGAAAATGACACCACGGTTCACACAGTGACACCAGCCAGAAGTTTAAGTATCATCCTCAATACCTCCTTCCCCCCATGCCCTCGTGCCCTTGTCCCTCCTCATCCACTTTATCACAGGCACAACCACTTTGCCCTTCTCGAGGGCCAGCTCTTTTTTTTTTTTTTTTTTTTTTGGATAGAGTCTCACTCTGTGTCCCCAGGCTGAAGTGCAGTGGCACGATCTCAGCTCACTGCAACCTCCGCTTTCTAGGTTCAACCAATTCTTATGCCTCAGCCTCCCGAGTAACTGGGACTGCAGGTGTGTGCCACCAGGCCCAGTTAATTTTTGTATTTTGAATAGAGATGGGGTTTCTTTTTTTTTTAATTTTTATTTTTTCCTTCATGACTACTTTTGTGCCGTGAGATGGGGTTTCACTATGTTGGCCAGACTGGTCTTGAACTCCTTAGCTCAAGTGATCTGCCTGCCTCGGCCTCCCAAAGTGCTGAGATTACAGGCCTGAGCCACCATTCCCAGCCCAGGGCCAACTCTCTAGCCCTGCTTCTATTAGCTCTTGGCCAGACAACAACAGTCACCTTCCAAATGGTTTCTCAGCATGCACTCTTCCCAACCTTTCAACTAGTCCTCCATGCTACAGCTGGAGTGACCATTTTGAAATGCAAATGGGTGACTGTTTTGAAATGAATTGCACACTTCTTCAGTGACTTCTTATTTCTTTTATCAAAAAATATTTTAACCTAGTCTGTGAACCACTGCATGTTTTGGTCCTTTCCTATTTCTTCTAACTAATCTTAATTTCAGTTCCACCTCTTATTAACTGGATAACTTGCATAAGTTGCTTAACTCCTCTATGCTTCAGTTGCTTCATCTGTAAAACAAGCATAACAATAGTATTTCCCAATTAGAATTGTCATGAGGAGCAACATAAAGTGCTTAGAATATACTTAGTAGGATCAATAAATATTAGCTCAATAAATGTTTCCTCAATAAATAATTAGTTCTTATTAGGACATCTTAGCTGTCTTCAGTCACTCTGATATTTTCTCTCAAAGATGTTGCTTACTCTGTTTACATTGCTATGAATAAATGCACGGGACTGGGTAATTTACAAGGCAAAGAAGTGTATTTGGTTCACAGTTCTGCAGGATGTGCAAGAAGCTTGGTGCCAGCATCTGCCTCTGGTGAGGACCACAGCCTCCTTCCACTCACAGCTCAGGCAAAGGGGAGCCAGTGTAGAGACCGCATGGTGAGAGAGAGTAGGGGAGGTGCCTGGCTCTTTTTTAACAACTAGCTCTCTCAGGAAGGCATACAGTAAGAACTCACTCATTATTGTGAGGACGGCACTAGGCTATTCATGAGGGATCTGCTCCTGTGACCCAAACACTTCTCACTCTGTCCACCTCCAACATTGGGGATCAAATTTCATTTTTTTTAATTTTATTTATTTATTTATTTATTTTTTATTTTATTTATTTATTTTTTTTTTTTTGAGACGGAGTTTCGCTCTTGTTACCCAGGCTGGAGTGCAATGGCGTGATCTCGGCTCACCGCAACCTCCGCCTCCTGGGTTCAGGCAATTCTCCTGCCTCAGCCTCCTGAGTAGCTGGGATTACAGGCACGCGCCACCATGCCCAGCTAATTTTTGTATTTTTAGTAGAGATGGGGTTTCATCATGTTGACCAGGATGGTCTCGATCTCTTGAACTTGTGATCCACCCGCCTCGGCCTCCCAAAGTGCTGGGATTACAGGCTTGAGCCACCGCGCCCGGCCAAATTTCAACATGAGATTCAGAGGGCTCAAACATCCAAATTAGGCTGGGCCTGGTGGCTCATGCCTGTAATCCCCACACTTTGGGAGGCAGAGGTAGGAGGATCACTTGAGGTCAGGAGTTCGAGACCAGGCTGGCCAACATGGTGAAACCCCATCTCTACTAAAAATACAAAAATTAGCTAGGCATGGTGGCATAGACCTGTAATTCCAGCTACTCAGGAGGCTAAGGCACAAGAATTGCTTGAACCTGGGAGGCAGAGGTTGCAGTGAGCTGAGATGGAGCCACTGCACTCCAGCCTGAGGAGACTGAGCAAGACTCTTTCTGAAAAAAAAAAAAAAAAAAAAAAAAAAAAAAAAAAAAAACA